CCACAGGGTTTTCTTGGCTGTAACCTTTATGGAAGCAGATCATTAGGTCTTTCTCCTATGGAGTGGCTGGGTAGATTTGAACCACCAATCTTTCAGTTAACCATCTTTATCACCAGGGTTCCTTATAGCTTCTCTTCACTCAAAGTCATCAAGTTGATTCTAACTCACAGCGACCCCCACTGGTTTCCAAGGCTGTAAATCTTTATAGGAGCAGACTGCCTCATCTTTCTTCTGTGGAGCAGCTGGTACATTGGAACATCAACCTTTTGGTCAGAAGCAAAATGCCTTAACGAGTATACCACTAGAGCTCTTTTTAACACCCTGTAATTTTCTTTTAAAACAATTATTACAAATTGTAATTTTAGATTTATTTTTATATAAGAGTTATGTAACATCTCTCTCCCTTGCTGGATGATAACTTCCATCTCCTCCGACAGACTGTATCATACCCATGCAAGCAGAGACCCTGTCTTATTCATTACTATATTTCCTGGCAAATGGTAGGTATTAGACAACATTATTTTTATGTGTGTATGAATGAATACTTTGATGGTAGGTTATAAATTGGTACATCATGTCAACAATCACAAAAATACACATATCATTTTACTTTTAGGGATTTATTCTACTGACATACTCCCTCACATGTGAAATGATATACATACAAAGTTATTCACTGTAGCACTGTTTATAATTGCAAGCCTATTATAATTTTCAAACCTGTTGTCTACCCGTAAAGAATTGGTTAAATAAACTTTGGTACCTTCATCCACTGGATCACCATACCATTATTAAAAGGAATCTCCAAGACATATCATTAAGTAGAAAAAAATGAAGTACATAATAATGTATATTATATGTTCACATTTGTGTAAACAAAATGCACATATATATCTGTTGGTGTATGAATAGAGTAACTCTAAAGATACACAAGAAACTAAGTTACAATGATTGACTCATGAGACTGGAACTAGATAGGGGAACCTATCTTCACTGTTTAATTTATGAATGTTTGATTATGGACTTGATTCTAATTTTATTAAAAAAAAAAAAAAAAAAGTTATTCCACGCATCTGAGAAGCTGGTGCCAGTCAATAAGACAGTAAAAACAGAAAGGAGCAAGGGCATACAATTTTTTTTTTTTTTTGAAGGGAGGGTGGTGGAGTAGAATAATGAATTTTGTTTTGAAAATGCTGAATTTGTGATTCCTATGAGAAATTAGTGTTAGTGATTAGTATGCTAGTAAGTAAGCAGTTCTCTATCTTAAAGAGTCCATGTAGAGCTAGAAATACATATACATTAAGAAGTTGTAAGCCATGAGCCTAACAGAAGGAGAGATTTTGTAGAAAAGAGAGCTAATTCATTCATTTAAGTATTCATTCATTCACATACATATTTATCAAACACCTACTCCATGCTAGACATGGTTCTTATTTTTGTGGGTAGAGCAGAAAACAAGTCAGACAAAGGATCTGGCCAGGGAGCAAATACGGTGACTTCAGAAAGTGTTAACTGTTACAGATGCAACAGAAACAGATTAATTTGTTAGACTGCGATAAGGACAGAGGATACTTCAGTAAAGGCAGTCATGGAAAGTATCTCTGAAAGAAGACATCTGACCAAAGACTTGAATAGTGAGAAGGGCCAGTCACTGGAAGACATAGAAGGAGAACCTTTAAAGAAGAGGAAACATTAAGTGAAAAAGTCCTGATGTCCTAAAAAAGTGAAAATATAAACTGCCTTCCTGAAGAAGAAGAAATAGTAAGTTCCAGCAGTACGGTGGGGATAAGGGAGTGTGGCATGAGGTAAGTTTGGAGAAAACTAGGGAAGTAACTCAGAAACCCAAGGAGGTGTCACTATGAGTCGGGTCCAACTCGACGGCATATAACAACAACAATAAGGTAACATAAAATACTGCAGTGGATGGCAAAGGCAAAAACAAAAAAAGGGCAATGTTGACTATGAATCAATCAGAGAGGTAAACAAAAGCCAGGAGATAGGTGCCCAAGAAATGAAAGCAGAAGATCATTTCAAGAAGTAAATATCAAATGCAATAAAAATAACATTGTGCTTATTGGATTTGGGAAACTGGTAACTAAGTGAAAGCCTTAGAGGAAAAAATGCTCAGCTGCAGTAGATTGAAGAGTGAATGGAAGTTAAGACAGTATAAAAGGTGAGTGTAAAACCAAAAAAACTCTGTCAAGAAATCTGGGAGGGAAAGAGGAAATGGAAAGGATTTCTGACTCTGTTCTTTCATTTAAGATGAGTGAAATTGCAGTTGCCTTGAATTGATTCCAACTCACGGTGACTGTGTGAGTAGAGTAGAACTATTCCATCAGGTTTTTAAGGCTGTGGACTTTCAGAAGCAGACTGCCAGGCCTGTATTCTTAGGCACCTCCTTAGTAGTAGAGTGTTCAACTGTTTGCACCACCCAGGGACTCCAAATGTTTATATGTAGAGAGGGAGGAAAAACTTATAAATACAAAAAGGGGATAAATGATGGAGGAAAGCTCTAAAGAAGGTGGAGGGATGGAGTCTAGAGTGAGAATCAGACAAAAGGAGGTGGTCATTTGCCTAAAGGAAAACAGAGGTCTCAAAAAGAGTACTGATAGAGGTTTGCTAAGAGGCAGGTGAGAGGAACTGTCCAGGTATTCTTAATCACAGAGCTGGGCACAGGAGGAACAGTGGGATTTGGCTGTAGCATCATTTGTAGAAGCAAGTCTTCATGGTCATTCATGTTCTCCACTGTGCTCAGAAGCCTGAGAGAGGACTACAGAGCAAACACTGACGTGTTCTCTGTCACCTATGATTCCTTATCATTCATTTGGTTTATGAAATTTTTGCAACTTTTATCAAATTCTGTTTTCCATTCTAATTATACACTTTTCTGCCGACCATTCCAATTAAAACAGAAAGCTCTATGATACTTATTGACATCTGTCTTACTCAGTAACTAGCACAAAGGACTCAATACTACTAGTTTAAAGACTTAAAAAACAAACTTACTGCTATCAAGTTGATTCTGACTCACAGTGACCCTGATTGGGCTTCTTTAGTTGTTAATCTTTATGGAAGTAGAATGCCCCATCTTCCTTCCATGGAGCAACTGGTGGGTTTGAACCGCTGACCTTTTGGTTAGCAACCAAATACCTTATCCACTATGCCACCAGAACTCTGTTTTAAAGAATAAAGTCACATTATACTTCCAAATATTGCAATATAAAATCATGCCCTTCTCCACCAGCTCACATGCAAGCCTCTGACATCATAAAGACAAAGTTTATTACTTAAGTCTGATGAAGTTTAGAGCACAGTATAACACACCCTGTAATTAGTCACTAGTTTTAACAAAACAGATCATTAAAAGTAATGTTGCCTTGTTTCATGACAGTCTTAAATACAGCATCTAAACTCCGATGGTAATTTTAAATGAGAAAACAGATAACAAATAGCTAATTGCTTTTGACTCAGGAAACCTAGATATTTACAATCCATTTAAAACAAAACCTATTTATCTCCAAAGTGTTAAGTGTTGCTTTAAATTATGATTATTTCCCATAGCCTTCACACACTTTCATAAACCTTATCATTTCTCACTCTTCTGAATTACACACATTAGGAAATCTCATCAACCAATTACTGCCTCATGATCCAGTCTGTTTACATTCCATTTTGCACACACTCCCCTATAAACAACCCAATAACTGGTTTGGGGATGGGCATCAACAGTACCCTGTGGACCAAGGAGAACCATCCTTGTCCAATACAAGTTAAGGATCACACCTGAACACCAGCTCTTTGAGATCTGAGAAACTCCAAGAGATGAGACATCATTTTGCTGACTGCAATACGTAAGAATCTGGAGCCAGATAATGCTTCTATGAACCCAGTATAAATTAACATGAATCCTAAAGGGTAAATGAAAATGCCGTTTTTTCTTTAAAGAAAATGTTGTCCATTTAGAGGGGAAGATGGACCAGAAATAAAAATGGAAAACGAGCCCCCACCCCCACTTCTTTTTCTCCACGCAAGAAATGCATGGAAACATGTCTTTTAAACGGTACTACATGGCCAGATATCGGAGGGTTCCGGAGTAACTCCAATCCGGGAACTAAAAAAACCAGCCACGCTCTTGACCACCTGTGTCCAAATAGAGAGAGGTGGCTGAAGGTAGTGGATGGCAGGTGGGGGACGGGGAGGGTTGTCTTCACTCCCATAAGACACAAAAGCCCCTTATAGAAGGGCTACTCAGCCAATATGAGCCCTGGTGGCTCAGTGGCTAAAGTAATCGACTGCTAAGCAGAAGGTTGGCGATTGGAACCCATCAGCCGCTGGGCGGGAAAGAGATGTAGCACTAACGTACCGCAAAGATTGACAAGCTTGGAAACCTTATGAGGCAGTTCTACCCTGTACTATAGGGTTACTGTGAGTCGGAATCGGCAGTAGGTTTGGTTTTGGTTCAGCAGATGGAAAGCGAGAGACCAGATGACCCAGAAAGTCTAGGGTTTGGGCACAGGGTAAAAAACCAAACCAAACTCACTGCCGTGGAATCGGTTCCGACTCATCGCGACCCCTCCTTGGGTTTCCGAGGGGGTATCTCTACGGAAGCAGATTGCCCAGTCTTCCTTCCGAGGAGTGGCTGGTGGGTTAAGGGAGAAAATGAGGATCTGGAGTGTAAAGGAATGGGCAACTGGCTCCTGCCACAGCTGTTAGAGGCGCGATGCGGACTGGAATCTCTGGCTAAAACCCGAGCCGCCCCCGCTGTTCCGCTCCCCTTCGGCCGAGCTTCCTTCACATGCCCCCGCCCCCACAGACACACACAGACCCTGCCCCGCGACCTGCAGGTGCCACTCTGTCAAGGGAGACAGGAGCCGCGGCGTGCAGGGCGGCGGGTTCGCTGCGCAGGAGCCCCGGTGCTTCCTCTGCCTCACCTCGGGAGAACCGGGTGGCCTGAGCCGTCCGCCCCGACCCCTCGCGCCCCCGCACCCCTTCACACTCACCCAGATCATGAGGCTGTCGCACAGCGGCAGCCCGGGCTGCGGAAGCGGCTGCGACTCTTCCATGGCCTGGGACGCCGTTGACTACGCTGCTGACACCGACACCTTCTACCTCCCCGCGCTCCGCCAGGAGCCACCGTCGACGACTTGTTCGCCCACCGAGGAAAGCTTGATACCGAGGCCCAGGGCCCGCGCAGCTCACGCGCGAAACCTCGCGCTGCCGACGTCGCGGCGTAACCCCCTCCTCTCTGCCGCCCCTACACTTCGTGGCGTTCGCCCCCTCCCCCTCCTGCGCCTCTCTGCACCTGAGCCCCGCCCCCGTCCCTCCAGGTCCCCAGGTCCTCCCGCCCACTCCTGCCCGCCGCGCCCCACGACACTGAGTGACCTGTGCGCGCTCCAGTCACAAAGAAGGTACCCGGGAGTGGCGGGACGGGGCGGGCAGGGGGAGGGGAGAGCGGGACTAGGTTGAGTAGGAGGCATTGTGGATTGGACGCGCCTTCCTGGGGCTCGGACCAATGAATGTGCGACATGCCTGAGACTCCGGAATTGAGCGGGATGAGGTGGGAAGGGGTTTATGACCTGGCAGGTGCAGTGAGGGCGGAGGAGGGAGGTTGCGCGCGCGAGGAAGTTGAGCGCGCGTGCGCGGAGAGACGATAAGCGAGGTTGAAGCTCGCGTAAAGGGCGGCCGAAAGGGCAGAAGGAACATAGTGGCCCGCTGCGGACACCCGATCGGGACAGAATCCTAGCATCTTCCCGCTTCCTACTTCCTTCCTCGCCGAGCATCTTCCTTCTGGCTGCACCTGTGGAGACCTGCACTCTACTTCCGTGATGTCTTGAGAAACAGCACGTACATTTGAATAAAAATCATTCACTGGAAATTGTCCACGTGTACTTATAACAACGTCTGACGAGGAAATGGGAGCTGATTTTCTCCTGGGCCTTCGAGTAGATTCCGACTCATAGCGAATTCTCTTTGGATTTCTGAGGCGGTATCTCTATGGAAGTAGATTGCCCATTCTTCCTTCCCAGGAGTGGCTGGTGGGTTTGAACTGCCAGCCTTCTGGTTAGCAGTCAAATACCTTAAGCACTGCACCACCAGGGGCTTTTAATTGTAATCAAACAGTTTTAAGTGTGCCATGTCTAAATATAAAAACATAGCAATAGTTAGCAGTCAGATGCCTTAGGCACTACGCCCTCTTTGGAAAAGGGATATTTTAAATATGCAGAAGGGGTTAAAGAAATGTTTTCCTAAGAGAAAAATACCTTAATTCTATTTAAATCATATAGACTCTCACGAGATTACAGACCATGGGCAGTTTTATTTAAAATGGGGCAAAAGGGAAAACTATTTTTAGGTAGCAAAATAAAGATAATGAAATGGTCTTTTAAGATACCAATGTACAATGCTTCTCACTTTCTTTTGACGGTTGGAAATCTTTTATGAGAATGTTGGTGCGGGAAGACTGGTGTATAAATTTGGAGGCTTTCCAAGGTATTCATAGATGGATAGGGCTATTGAGCTAGGCTAGAATATTACTCTTGCTTTTGAGTCCCATTACATAACTCATTCATAAACTTGTTAATTAATGCTCTGTGTAAGAATGCAGCTGACTAATTTATATTGCTGTGTTTTTATATTTAGACATTGCACAGTTAAAACTGTTTGATTACAATTAAAAGCCCCTGGTGGTGCAGTGCTTAAGGTATTTGACTGCTAACCAGAAGGCTGGCGGTTCAATCCCACCAGCAACTCCTCAGAAGGTAGAATGGGCAACCTACTTCGGTAAAGATTTGCCACCTCAGAAACCCAGTGGGGGTTACTATGAGTCAGAATCTACTCAATGGCAGTGGGTTTGGGTTTTCTTCTGGAATTGTAAACCAGTCTCCTAAAAATGCAGTACATCCATTTGCTACTGATTTGCTGAAAAACTTAAAAACTTTTTTTTTTTTTTACCTTGAGTGAGGGATCATTTTCTCTTCCTGGATACTGAGAATATTTGTAATGTGGCTGAATGAGAAGCTCTGGTGGCGTAGTGCCTAAGGCATTTGATTGCTAACCAGTAGGCTGGAGGTTCAAACTCACCAACCACTCCTTGGAAGGAAGATTGGGCAATCTACTTCCATAGAGACAATGCCTCAGAAACCCAAGGAGGGGCCACTATGAATTGGAACTGACTCAATGGCAGTGAGTTTGGTTTTTGGGTTGGGTGAATGAAAAGTTCAGGATTTAGGAACTGAAGATTTAGTCTAAATATTGGCTTTATTCTCTAGTAGCAGTAGCTTTCTCCATACTTACACATTCCTAAAATAATGCTAATGGCATAGCTTCACTTGTCTGTCTCACCAGGGCATTAATGCTAATGGATGCTGAAGAGTTTTATAAATTGTAAACTCTTTTACAAAAATGAGCTACTCTAATCATATATACTGCAAGCATGTGAAAACATAGCATTTATCACCAAGAGCTACAGGTGATTGAACTATTAAAGTATTTCATAAAATAACTGGAGGGGTGGCAATTGAATTATTCTTCTGGGCTCTGTACAAGTTGAGAGCAGACCTTGGGGAAAGGATGCTCAGTTCGCCAGGATATTATATACAATGGAAAACAACATACAAAGTACATGATCAGTGAATTCAGAGAAGAAATACAAATATTAAACACATATAAAAAAGAAAAATACAAAACATGGAAGTGTACTTTTATAAAACTGGAACAAGATTTTAGAAAAAGTAATATTTATCAAAAGGCTTTAAAACATACATAGCATTTAATTTAATAATTCCATAATTTCCTTCTGGTCATAATCCTATTGAAATAATGAGAAATATAATCAAAGGTTTTGAACAACAATGTGTATTACAGTTTTATGTTATTGAAAAACACATACCAAATAAACAGGAATGGTGGAATTGTAAATACTCTAAAGTATATTCATCAGATAGAATATTTGGCAATTAATAAAAATAATGTTGAAATTATTTGATAACAGGAAATAAACAAATAAAAGTATGAGCCATATGACTTCAATATTGTATATATTACTTATGTATTTTAATATATGTACAGCAAGAAGACTGAAAAATATTAATCAAACTTCTGTGGGTATTTTAATATATGGATTTTAGATGATATTTTCCATAAGCTTTTTTGAATTTTTAAAATTTTCTCTGCAAGTAGCTTGTATTACTTCATAATCGGGTGAAAACAAATACAAAAGAAATGTCAAATACTATATGAACTTTCATTTTCTACCTATTAAATTGGCATTCATTTTTAAAAGTGGGCTTCCATGAATCCTTGGGTGGTGAACCCACCTAGAGGTGCCTGGGAAGAAAGGCCTGGAGTTCTGCTTCTGAAAGATAACAACTTTGAAAACACTATGGAACAGTTCTGCTCTGCATACGTGGGGTCTCCATGAGACAGAATCAACTCCATGGCAACTAACAGCAACAACAACATCCATGTTTTGGAAGTTGAGTGAAACTAACTTCAAACACTGTTGCTTTTGTTGTCGTTACGTGCTGTCGAGTCGGACCCGACTCATAGCGACCTCTCCTTGGGTTTCCAAGGCAGTATCAGTACGGAAATAGGATTGCCCAACCTTCCTTCCAAGGAGTGGCTGGTGGGTTTGAACCGCCAGCCTTCTGGTTAGCAGTCAAGTGCCTTAGGCACGACACTACTCTCACTTCACGACTCTCTCACTTCAAACACTAGTGATGAGATTATTTTGTTGTTAGGTGCTGTCAGGTCGGTTTTGACCTATAGTGACCCTATGTAAAACATTGCCCAGTCCTGCACCATCCTAACATTCAATACTATGCTTGAGTCCATTATTGCAACTATTGTGTGTCAATCTGTCTTATTGAGAGTGTTCCTCTTTATGGCTAACCCTCTGCTTTACCAAGCAGTCCTTCTCCAGGGACTGGCTCTTCCTGGTAACATGTCCAAAGTACATGAGCCAAAGTCTTACCATCTTTGCTTCCAAGGAGCATTCTGGCAATATTTCTCCCAAGATATATTTGTTCATTATTCTGGCAGTCCATGGTATGTTCAGCATTCTTTGCTGACACTGTAGTTCAAAGGCATCAATTCATCGTTGTTGTTGTTGTTAGTGCTGTCGAGTCGTCTCTGACTCATAGCAACCTATGTACAACAGAACGAAACACTGCCTGGTCCTGTGGCAGCCTCATGATCCTTGCTATACCTGAGCCCATCATTGCAGCCACTGTGTGCAGTTAGAGGTGGTCAGAAGATGTGGCCTCCTTGCCTCTTTAGCAGTCTTCCTTATTCATTGTTGAGCTCGCACATGCATATGAGGTGATTGAAAATACCATAGCTTGGGTTAGGTGCACCTTAGTCTTCAAGGAGACATCTTTGCTCTTCAGCACTTGAAAGAGGTCTTTTGCAGCAGACCAATGCAATATGTCTTCTGATGTCTTGATGCTGCTTCCATTGGTGTTGATTATGAAACCAAGTAATATGAAGTCTTTGACAACTTCAATCTTTTCTCTGTTTATCATGCTGCTGCTTATTGGTCCAGTTGTGAGGATTTTTGTTTTCTTTTTCTTGAGGTGTAATCCATACTGCAGACTAGAAAGCCCCATGGGGCAGATCTACCCTGTCACATGAGGTCTCTATGAGTCAAAATCAACTTGATGATACCTACAACAATAACAACAAAGACTATTTGTCAAAGGACTAAATAAATGCTGCCATGAAGGATTTAACCAGGAGTGCCAAGGGAAAAAAGTTATAAAAATTACCACACAGGAATATTATCAACTGTATTTTAACTGATGGGAAAGGATGCTTAGTTTACCATTTATTCCGTTAAAATAAATATGTTTATTAAGCATATTTAATTTCACTCCAAAGCTCTGGATCAAATATAATTGGACATAATTATTTCATCTTGTCATAAATAACTCATGAGGAACAAATGTTATATAACAAATACAGATAGTATTTAAAAAAAACTTGAAAACAATAGGTAACAAAAGTAGGCATTTAATAAAATATACTGATAATGTGACAGATCTAAAATACCATTTAAATATATAAATCCTGTAGATTATATCTCAGTTTATATAAGTGAATCACAAGACATGTCATCATTTTACACTCTATTACAAAAGATGATCCACGCTTCTTATTTGGTCGGTGACCTATTTTATATGTACTAAAATCCATCTAATCCACGTAAGCAGGTTTTAAAAATAAAGACCAAACAGTGACACATAGTGGCTAATCATTTAATCCACACGTCTGTCTCTAAGAGAAAAAAAAAAAAAAAAACTAACTACAATATAATT